CCCCTACAACCTCCGGCCTAGACCCGGTAGAACCCTAGTTTCTACCAGTTTGGTATCAGCTCGCTTTGGTTCGATTATGTCTTCCCCGCCGCCAACCCCGTCGCTTCTGCTGCCGACCGCCACCACCGCGCTGCTAGCCCTCTCCACCACGTTGTTGCCCTCCCCATCTATGTTGCTGCTCTGCACCTCCGGCGCCGCCGCCGCCCAGATGTCGGCGCCCTCCACCGCGCCGCCAGCAGCCGCCTACACCCCGGAGGAGGTTACCGGGGTCCTCAATGACCTCGTCGCCCCCGTCCAGGGTATCCGGCTGTACCTGGCCAGCCCCTACGGGTCGTCGCCGCCCCTGTTGCCGGCCGCCGCCACCGGGCCACCAGCCCTGCCGTGGTACTCACCGCACGCAGCGGCCTCCGCTGCGTTCGCTGGGAGGTTGCAGCTGCAGCCATCGCCCGTCCCTACTACGCAGTGGCCGCCGTGGCCGGCGCCGGCTCTCGTCGCGCCTCCCGCGCCCACCGCTCCCATCCAGCAACCGTCATGGCTGCCGTGGCCGCTGCCATCCACCGCCACCACCGGACCGCCCTGGCTGCAGTGGCAGCCGCCGCTCCTGGCGGTCTCCGCCACGCCCGGTGCTCCGCTGCAGCCGCTGCCGCTGCCCGGTGCGACACCGCTGCAGCTGCAGCAACCACCGCCGATCAGCTCCGTCCCCGCATCGACCGCGTCGACGGGAGTCCCGATCCACCAGGTCTGGTTCCCGCCCTCGCCGTCCTCGCTACCGGCTTGGTTGACCGAGTCGTCGTCTCAGCCGGTCTACACGCTGGCCTCGGGACCGCCGCATGTCCCGTCACAGCAGACGCAGTACGGCGGATCCTCCAGCTCTGCGGGCCCCTACGTTGGCCTCGGCGCCGCCGTTCCACGTGGGGGCCCCTGTGATCACTGACCCGACGCCGCTGCTCCGCACCGCCGAGTCGTACCCCCACGGGCCACGGCGGTCATACCCAGACGACGCCGCGCTTCGCCAAGCTCGCCTTCGCCACATACGACGGCACCGAGGACCCCCTCAACTTGCTTAATCAGTGTGACCAGTTCTTCCGGGGGCAACGCATGCTTGCGTCGGACCGCACCTGGCTCGCTTCATATCACCTTCGAGGCGCCGCACAGACTTGGTATTACGCTCTCGAGTAGGACGAGGGCGGCATGCCTCCATGAGAGCGTTTTCGCGAGCTATGCCTCCTTCGCTTCAGGCCGCCGATACGCGGGAGCTGGCTGGCGGAGTTGGGTCGTCTCCCCTTCACCTCTACGGTGCAGGACTTCACGGACCGCTTTCAGGCCCTGGCGTGCCACGCGCCCGGCGTGACGGCTCGCCAGCGGGCCGAGCTCTTTGTTGGCGGTCTGCCGGATCAAATTCGTGTGGACGTGGAGCTGCAGGGACCCCAGGACCTCCAGACGTCCATGTACTACGCTCGCGCGTTCGAGCGTCGCGCGGTGGCCATCCAGCAGGCGTCACCGTCCCGGGCCGCTGGCCGAACGTTCCCGCGCAGGGTCGGCCTGCTCAGGCTTCCGCGGCACCCATAGGCGCGACCGCGGCGCGCCCGTTCCGACGGCTCACCCCGGCCGAGCAACTCGAGCGTCGCCGCCAAGGGTTGTGCTTCAACGGCAACGAGCCCTACGTGCCCGGCCACGTCTGCCCACGACTTCTACCTGGAGGCTGCGGACTACATTGAGGAGGACGCCGCCGGCGCTGGGCTCGTCGACCTGCCCGCCCCAGCTGCCGCGGAGGTGTTTGGCGACGGGTGATCACCTCGAGGAGTTCCGCAAGCGCTTCCCCGCCTTCCAGCTCAAGGACGAGCTGTTTGTGCAAGCGGGGAGAAATGTTATGACGGGCATATTAGGGGCTTAGCCCAGTTAGTTGTGGCCCAGTCTATCTTGTCGTTATTAGGGGCTTAGCCCAATTATCTTAGTAGGAGGATTATATAAACTCGTGTAAGGATCCGTTTTGGAATTAAGCAAGAAGCAATCATATTTGCTCGGCTTCCTTAGGGAGCCGGGACCTAACCCTAGCCGCCTCCTCCCCTGAGCCATCTCCCTCTCAGCCGTCGCCTCCTCGCGCACGACGGCGCCCAGCCGCCGCCGGCCGCGAGTTCGTCCATGACCAGCTCCCTCCTTCCCCTACAACCTTCGGCCTAGACCCGGTAGAACCCTAGTTTCTACCAGTTTGGTATCAGCTCGCTTTGGTTCGATCATGTCTTCCCCGCCGCCAACCTAGTCGCCTCCGCTGCCGACCACCACCACCGCGCTGCTGGCCCTCTCCACCGCGTCGCTGCCCTCCCCATCCGTGCTGCTGCTCTCCACCTCCGGCGCCGCCAGCAGCCGCCTACACCCCGGAGGAGGTCACCGGGGTCCTCAACGACCTCGTCGCCGCCGTCCAGGGTATTCGGCTGTACCTAGCCAGCCCCTACGGGCCGTCGCCGCCCCTGCCGCTGGCCGCCGCCACCGGGCCACCAGCCCTGCCGTGGTACTCGCCGCACGCAGCGGCCTCCGTTGCGTTTGCTGGGAAGCTGCAACTGCAGCCATCGCCCGTCCCTACCCCGCAGTGGCCGTCGTGGCCGGGGCCGGCTCTCGCCGCGCCTCCCGCGCCCACCGCCCCCATCCAGCAACCGTCGTGGCTGCTGCCATCCACCGCCACCACCGCCCCGCCCTGGCTGCAGTGGCAGCCGCCGCTCCTGGCGGTCTCCGCCGTGCCCGGTGTTCCGCTGCAGCCGCTGCCACTGCCCGGCGCGACACCGCTGCAGCTGCAGCAACCACCGCCGGTCAGCTTCGTCCCCGCATCGACCGCGCCGGCGGGAGTCCCGATCCACTAGGTCCGGTTCCCGCCCTCGCCATCCCCGCTACCGGCTTGGTTGACCGAGTCGTCGTCTCAGCCGGTCTACACGCTGGCCTCGGGACCGCCGCATGTGTCGTCACAGCAGGCGCAGTACGGCGGATCCTCTAGCTCCGCGGGCCCCTACGTTGGCCTCGACGCGCCGCCGTTCCACGTGGGGGCCCCTGTGATCACCGACCCGGCGCCGCTGCTCCGCACCACCGAGTCGTACCCCCACGGGCCACGGCGGTCATACCCAGACGGCGCCGCGCTTCGCAAAGCTCACCTTCGCCACCTACGACGGCACTGAGGACCCCCTCAACTGGCTTAATCAATGTGACCAGTTCTTCCGGGGGCAACGCACGCTTGCGTCGGACCGCACCTGGCTCGCTTCATATCACCTTCGAGGCGCCGCACAGACTTGGTATTACGCTCTCGAGCAGGACGAGGGCGGCATGCCTCCATGAGAGCGTTTTTGCGAGCTATGCCTCCTTCGCTTCAGGCCGCCGATACGCAGGAGCCGGCTGGCGGAGTTGGGCCGTCTCCCCTTCACCTCTACGATGCAGGACTTCACAGACCGCTTTCAGGCCCTGGCGTGCCACGCGCCTGGCGTGACGGCTCGCCAGCGGGCCGAGCTCTTTGTTGGCCGTCTGCCGGATCAAATTCGTGTGGATGTGGAGCTACAGGGACCCCAGGACCTCCAGACGGCCATGTACTACGCTCGCGCGTTCGAGCGCCTCGCGGTGGCCATTCAGCAGGCGTCACCGTCTCGGGCCGCTGGGCCGCCACCTTGGCCGGACGTTCCCGCGCAGGGTCGGCCTGCTCAGGCTTCCGCGGCACCCCTAGCCGCGACTGCGGCGCGCCCGTTCCGACGGCTCACCCCGGTCGAGCAACTCGAGCGTCGCCGCCAAGGGTTGTGCTTCAACGGCAACGAGCCCTACGTGCCCGGCCACGTCTGCCACGACTTCTACCTGGAGGTTGCGGACTACATTGAGGAGGATGCCGCCGGCGCTGGGCTCGGCGACCTGCCCGCCCCAGCTGTCGCGGAGGTGTTTGGCGACGGGTGATCACCTCGAGGAGTTCCGCAAGCACTTCCCCGCCTTCCAGCTCAAGGACGAGCTGTTTGTGCAAGCGGGGAGAAATGTTATGACGGGCATATTAGGGGCTTAGCCCAGTTAGTTGTGGCCCAGTCTATCTTATCGTTATTAGGGGCTTAGCCCAATTATCTTAGTAGGAGGATTATATAAACTCGTGTAAGGATCCGTTTTGGAATTAAGCAAGAAGCAATCATATTTGCTCGGCTTCCTTAGGGAGCCGGGAGACCTAACCCTAGCCGCCTCCTCCCCTGCGCCATCTCCCTCTCAGTCGCCGCCTCCTCGCGCACGACGGCGCCCAGCCGCCGCCGGTCGCGAGTTCGTCCACGACCAGCTCCCTCCTTCCCCTACAACCTCCGGCCTAGACCCGGTAGAACCCTAGTTTCTACCAATAACCATGAGAGATGTACATGTAAGTTTATTTCTTTACAAACTAGTCTCGAGCTAAACATTCTCATATATGACTACGAAAGATGCACGTGTAAATTTATTTATTTTCAAACTTTTCTTGAGCTGGACTTTTTCGTATTCTAGTAGCTATCTATGTCACAAATTGGTGTGCATGCCAACTCCTATGCAAGAAATAGTGGAGTGAGGTGATCATGGCATGTTAGGCATGCACTTTGGAATGGTCTTTTATTAGTAACACACACTTTGGAATGGCATGCATTATGATAAAAAGGTTGAGCATTTTGTTCCTCATCCACGAATCAACTCAACACCAAATATCTTACAGGAACAACAGTTGCGTTTTGAGTAGGCAACTTGACATATATGATTACTCCCTCCGATTAATGATTATTGAGATATTTACATGGTCCCCCAATAAATACTCTGACCATCAATTTCTACAATGTTGCGTCAAAAAAATTAATTATATATTATGAACAAAATACTTCATGAAAATCTAGTAAGGGCAATTTAATATTGTCAATATTTGCAATATATACTGATGGCCAAACAAGGAAATATTTGACTAGCACAAACTGTAAAATAGCTTATATTATGAATAGGAAGTATCAAATAAAAACGTGAAATGCAAAACAGCTTACAGGAATAATGATTAGATCATATTTTGAATCAGAAGCATCCAATATGCATTTATCAGCAACAATCTTCATTCTTTGAGACCCAACAATATTTGTGGACTCGTCAACTGATGCCAACACCACATTTATGTTTGCCCGTCTTAAAATATCCACCAACATTATGATCTCCATCTCCTCAGACCCATTTGCAATTGGAATGAGAACCTGTTTCAGAGAGAATCAATGCCACACAACTTGGACTCTGATTGCACCTTTCCTAATATTTTCCCCATCAATGCTCATGGCCGAAAGTAATGAGGACTAGACAGATGGATGATCTTTATTTTTCACGTGCACTAGCTTGAATGTGTTTCACATAGAAACATGGCATGGGGGCGTTTTCACATACAGTGACAGTGTATGAGGGGAAATCAATAGATAGACAATAATTCATATAGCATGCTAGGGCATACGCAATCAAACCGAGTTTTCTTAAATCAAGCATGCACCTTTAGGCAGGCATTGCTGTAAATAAAGAAAGTGCAAGTATTCACCCTGGTGTTGCCCAATCCCATTTTCTTTACGAGAAATGCTTTAGGCATCCATTTGTCAAGCAAAACTTGTTGCCCTTTGTAAAAAAAGGAGAGACTTGCATAAGCATATTATCCTTTTTGTTGTAACATAAATTTTACATTAATGATGGTTGTACATGTAAAAAACAAACATTATTGAGCTAATAATTTAGCACAAATCATAGTTCAAACATGAACTGACCTGAGGTTTGTGATCAAAAGGCCATTCAACTCTGTTGACTTCTGTACTTCTTTCAAGAGCAGCATCAATCTGTAATATCCATGGGCAATTTCCAACAATGGCACAGTGGTCAGAAGGTGTTACAATACAAGAAAGAAATTGCACCTCATAAAGTTATAGCAAAAGAACATAGTCTAAAAACTTGATAGCAGTCTTCCCTAAATTGTTTTTGCTAGCATAAGGAACTGAAAGATAAATAGCACTTCCTAGAATAAAAACAACAATCTGAATTGCAGGTACAGTAGTACACTATTAATAAAAGTTTAACAACACATGAACAACTAAATTTACAAGAAATAGTCTAGTCAGCTAAAAGGCATGATACAAAACAAAGATATGCAAGTTTTATTTTGACGAACCAAAGTACTGTCCACATCTTCAACAGCGTGAGGCCCAAACAATTGCTCGACAAATGATAAAGCAAACTGAAATGCTGTCCCAGGACCACGACTAGTAGTGAGCTCTCCTGAAACCTGAACATTTGACTCAACAGCTCGGAATGTTGGAAGATCTCCTATGAAGGACGGGTGACAGGTGATCTTGCAAAAAAGGAATAAGGGTGCAATGTCAACTAAAGAAGATCTTGATCAACTAAACCTAGTCATGTAGCAAAAATGGCCACCTTTCTTCCCTTGTGAAGACCCCAGGGCATGAGAACAACAGCTGGTGCAGCACATATAGCACCATACAATCTTTTCTCTTCAGCTTGTCTAACCATAATTCTCTGAAGGATCTCGTTATCTCTCAGCCGTACTGAACCAGGCATTCCTCCCTGAACACATCGCCCCAACAATCAAAAATTAGATTTTATATACTGCCAGTTTGTAACACACATATAACAACACAGGTCAAGTGAGTGACAACGAAGAGATGGCATGCTGCAATCAGCACGAGAAGGGAGAAAATATGATGAAACAGTTTGAAATTTTGCAGTATCGAAGAGAAATGCTGAGAAATATTTGAATGCTCTCCCAAAGAGAGACTATAAATGCTCCATAAGTTTCTGCTGCTAAATCCAATAAGCTGTTCGGTTTTGGGAAGATCACTGGATAGGAGATAGGCCATTAGTGGTTCAGTTTGCTCGCTGTGCAATCTTACCTTTAGTACGAATTGGACAGTAGCTGAAGTTTTCACTCAGGGTTTTGGTTGTGTCACATTTAGGAGAAACCTTTGGGAGAAGACGGCTGTTATTTGGAGTTCTTTAAGTCAGTTATGTAGTGCGGTGGTTTTGTTGGAGCATGATAGACGTCATTGGACATTGGGGAAGAATGGCAAGTTTACAGTTCGTTCCCTTTACCTTACGCTGAAAGATGCTCAGGTTTCTTGGCCTTATAAAAAATGTGGTTCAGTAATATTCAGTAAGGATTATCTGTTGCATAGTTGGCAAATGTCAAGTACTATTACGGAACGTCAGGTTATTGCTTCTGGGATTTCAGCTTCAATTTGGTCTTAACGAAAATGTAGGAATAGTTCCAATAGTATTATTCCCACTGATCCAATCACAAGTTATTTTGATGATGGCTTAACCTGTCGTCGGATTGGGTTGTTCTTCAGAACCATATTCTTCAAAACAAACAATGGCAAGGAGCTTGGCTGGTACTGCACATGCCACCCGTGGTCTTTGGTCAAAGGGGGTTGAAGCTTGAAAAGCTGGAGCAGAGAGTAATTTCTTTGTGCTATTTTTTGGTGGTTTATCAGAAAGGGTCGCTGCATTGACTAGTTTGGCTGTAAGGTGTTGAGGCTGTCCTGCTTGTTATGTTGGAGTTCTAAGAGTCAGGTTTTTAAGGCTGGATGGGGCCAGCTAGGAGGATGGTGGTGTTGCATCAGGCCAAAATTTTCAGGATACCAGCACAGCCATGTTGGTGCCCAAAAAAACTGTTTATGTCCTGTTTTATCGTTTTTCAGCAATGAAAATAAGAAGCTCTTGCTCCTTTTATAAACAAAACAAATATTAAAATAATAATCGTAATAAGAGAGGTGGGTTACCGGGACAGCCACAAGGTCGAACACCTGGTCTGCACACGCTGCAATGGGCTTGTCTGCGATGATGCGCGTCCCATAGGAAGCCTCAATCTCGAGGCCGTCCTCCACAGAGGCCAGCGTTACGTCAGCGCCTGCTCGCCTGAGGACGCCGGCTAGGATGACTGCCTCCATTTCCTCTGTGCCCATGGCAATGGGCACAAGAACCTTCACAGTACAAAGCAGAAATTCAGGTTCTTGACGCTGTCAAAGAGAAAGGTAACTAGTGGAGACCAGACCTTCTTGGGAGATGGCGGCAATGAGACGGCCGTTGCGGCGGTGGAAGAAGAAGGAGCCGCTCGCATGACGGGGCGGAATGGCGATGTCCGCCTGTGAGGCGGGGCGTAGTGGGTTGGTGCATGCGGCGTCGGCGGCAGCCGAATAGCCATGGCAGCAAGGGAGGTCGGGGAGAGAAGGGGTTTAGACACGGAGAGCATTAGAATTTGGAGTTCGGAGATGAACAAAATCAAGCCAACAAATATGCAGCCTTTGAGCCGTCAAAGCACACACGAACTGATATAAGCTACGGCACCCTCACGGCCTCGCCCTCCTTCTGACTGCAAAATGGAGACGAAGTGCAGGTTTAGCTGGACTTTTAGATACACAAACTGCAATATGATATCTGCCAGTTCGAGAGAGCACTCCAGTTCAGATTTGATAGCTAAAGTATGAAGAAGCTAATTCTATTTGCAGGAAGTAATAACAGGTGACATTCCTGTTAGATAACTCATAACTCCAGGTTTGCTTACCTCTCTCTTATAACTCAAATCTCTAGGCATGGTCAATCAGTCGCTGTTGTATAAATGACCAAAAAAAAAAGTGGCAGTTTCAATGCATACAAAGGACCGTGGTTTGAGCTTGAAAAAAAAAGATGTTATTGTCTTATTTCTTCTATTCTTCTTGCCTTCCTGCAAATTATATTGAAACAAAATTACTAAATTGGTTTCCATATTTACAAAACTGCAGAATTATTACAAACTAACGGCAACGAGAATTAATTAAAGACCATGCTTCAATCTATCAAGCATTAATAATGCCGAGGGCCACGGCCGCATTTCCTGTAGAACTTAAGCTCGAGTTGAACTTGAGATGGCTAGGTGGAGCATACCTTTGGCTGAGGCGGAATGCCCAAGGACGGACGCCAGACGTCGAGGTCGAGACCACCGGCGCGCCGCTTCGTCGGTCAGCCGTCAGCCGGACGGGGCAGCAGCCCGTAGATCAGCAAGGGGAGCAGCCAGGAAGGAGATGGGAGGGGAGGAATGCTCGCTGCTACACGGGGGTCGCCGGATGGGCATGGAACGCACGGCTGCCGGGCGGCGAGCGGCGGCTGGATAAGGTTCGACGGGCACGGGACGACTCCTTTCTTCTCGTCGAAAACTCAATTTTTCGCTGTTTGTTATTGGGCTGACTGGCCGAGGCCCAGCAAAGTAGAGAAAGTGGGCTGCGCCCCAGGCTACCTTTTTGTTTTCTAGTCTCATGTCCTGCGCAAATCTGCGAAATCACTCCAACTCGCCTGGTTGCCACTAGTGGAGCACATGCAGCGCGCGACAACCTGGCAGTTTTTTTCCTTTTTTCGTAGATCCGTTTATTCAAACCGTTTTATCTCTCAAACCGTGCGTCCAAATCTCGAACCGCCTTCACAATTGGATTCCTCGCGTCGAGATCTTCAAAAATAGATCTCATGTTGATAGGTTTTGATGAACTTTTTTCAAAAAAAAACGAACGAAAAAACCAGACCAGGAGCATGGGTCTTTTACCTTTCCGAAAGAGGCACGACCGTGCCTCTCACAAAATCACAACCATGCCTCTCGCGGAAGCAAAACCGTGACTTTCGCAGAAAAAAAAAGAAGAGAAAACATGTTTTTTTTCGTTTCCGAGGAGGCACGGCCGTGACTCTCGCGAAAGCACAACGTGCCTCTCGCGGAAGCAGAACCGTGACTCTCGCGAAAAGAAAAAATAGAAAACATATTTTTTTTCGTTCCAAGAGGCACGGCCGTGACTCTCGCGAAAGCACAACCGTGCCTCTCGCAGAAGCAAAACCGTGACTCTCGGAAAAGAAAAAGAAACAGAAAACACATTTTTTTTTCGTTCTGAGAGGCATGGCCATGACTCTCGCGAAAGCACAATCGTGCCTCTCGTGGAAGTAAAACCGTGACTCGCGAAAGGAAAAAAAATAGAAAACACGTTTTTCTCCGTTTTCGAGAGGCACGGCCGTAACTCTCGCAGAAGTAAAACCGTGACTCTCGCGAAAGCAAAACCGTGCTTCTCACGAAAGCAAAAACGTGAATCTAGCGAAAGGAAAAAAATGCGTTTTTTCGCGCAAATTTTTTTTGTCGAAAAGCTAAGGAGGCCCGTGGAAAACCAAAACATCGAAAGAAACCGTTTAAAAAACTGAAAACGCGGGCGAAAAAATAAAATCCAAAGGGAACGCCCGAAGTGCGACACGTGGCAAATGGCTGAGAGCGTGCCAAGTGACGCTTATCGTTGCGAGGCTCCCGAATGAGTCCTCATTAACTAGTTTTTTTTTTGAGACAATCCTCATTAACTAGTTGCTCTCGCAAACCTGGCCAACTGGACCGTACCTGGCAGGCTGGACCGTTAGCATGCATGCCCGGCTTGTGACTGGCTGGCCCGGCACATGGTTTACCAGGCCGTGTCTGGGCCTGGAGGCTGGGCATGCATGCTGGCCCGGCCCGGCCGTTTAGTTTTATTATTATATATTTTTAATTTATATAGGCCAATAGGCTGAATAATAGATCGGCTGACTACTAAACGTGTCGATGGGTCGCCCGTGCCTGGGCCTGGGTGGGAGGCCCGTGTGCCGGCCCGACATGGTCCATGTAATTAGTGTGCCTGGCAGGGTCGTGCTGTGCGGCCGTGCATGGCACGTACGTATAACTCAGGTCGGGCCTCGCTGACAAGCTCCGGCGCAAAAACGGGCGCCGGCGCTCCGGCCAACGGCCGAATCGGCAAGAAAAACGGCGCGCATCAGCGGATCCAAAACGGCGCGGCTAGGCGGCGCGGTCAGGGGTCAACGAACGAGCGGCGGTGGGTGACTACCGAGCGAAATCACCGACGGTGGAGGAGTGGCTACGGCACAACGGTATATAGACCAATAGGCTACCGATGTGTACATGTTATTAGATGTGGCTACCGATGTGTACCCAATGCGTGTTGGTGACAAGTTCACCATGGTTTTAGCTCCGACACTGAATCTATACACAGGTAACAGGACCTGATTCTTTTTACAAGTTGATCATGAAATAATTTGGCAACTGAATGAGGTGAATGCGGCTCATTATGTGTGGCAGTTGCCTAAATGTTGTTATTACCTCACATGCACTTGTCTTCATGGAGGACGCATGTTTAGGGGCTGATACTCGGGAAGCTCATGTTATTGCTTTCTTTGTTCCAGGCCGGTAGGAAAACACTTGCTGACAAGTATGACTATGTCATGCATGGAAAGCTTTACAAGATTTCAGAGGACAATTCCAGTAAAAAAGAAGTTACTAAAGTGTATGACTTCTCTGAACTCTAGATTAGTGGTTTTCTTTATAGTTTGTACTTACTAGGAAACTTCTTAAATCTTTGCAAAAGGAGCCCATTTTCTTACGAAACAGACAAAGGGAAATTTATTGATGGTGTGTTGATGGTCTCTTCTCGTTTTCGTACCATAAGCTTGCTGGGCTAGCTGTATCATGTGAATCACACTCACACCGTGCAGTACAAGTGCAGTTATTATTTTACTAAGAGCATTCACATTTTCTCACAATGCCTATTTGTATATCTCGAACCGACCTACGCCGTTTACAACACCTGGTGGCTCGTCGTAGGTGAGATGGCCGACGGCGTGGTCGAACTTCCGACTGAGGCCGCGAACCAGGTTGGTGACGATGGCCTTGTCGGTCTGCGGGATGCCACAGTCAGCGAGGGTGTTGGCGAGCATCTTCAATCTGGTGCAATACTCCTGGATGGAGAGATGACCCTGGTGCAGCCCGTGGAACTCCTCCAGCGCCTGCACCCCCTGCTGGTTCCGGTTGGAACGAAACAGGGTGTTGATCGCCGTGTACAGGACGATGGCGGTAGGGTTGTTGACGCGGATGGTGTTGGCGATCTCCTCGGAGACAGGGCCGTAGAGCCAACGGATGATGCACCAGTCGACCTGGGCCCAAACGGGGTCGAAGCGACGCTGACGAGCATCCACGGTGTCGTCGATGTGATCCGTGATGCCGAAGGACTGGACCACGGCGATGAAGAATTAGGACCACAGAGTGTAGTTGGCGGTGAGAGCTGCAGAGTAACAGGCATCGCCGAGTGGACGTTGAGGGAGAGGATGTAGAGAGTGGCACCGATGGCGAACCGGCCGCGGCGGCGAAGGGGTTGGTGCCGGACGAGGAGACATCGGAGAAGATATCCATCGAGGCTAGGCGGAAGCGAGATGCCAAGGATGGAGAAAGATTGATACCATGTAGAGAGGAGACACAAGGATTGAGTCAGGATGATCTCGTTAATTGACAGTGGCAACATATATACACAGGCCCGTACATCCACAGGTGCAAGTGGAGCCGCTGCACAGGGCCCCCAAAAATCTGGGGGCCCCAATTTTTGTTCAAGTACTATATATATATTACTAAATCCTGAGATTAACAAAGAGGAAAGACTGGATCGTTAAACTGCCAAGAAAAATAAAGTGCAGCCCCAGCCCAACGCACGTCAATTAATCCACCAAGCCCCAACGGAACAGCAGGCCCATAGCCCAACTCATCTCTCTCACGGAGAATTCCAGAAAGACTGAAGACGGATCGAATTCCCCTGTTCTTAATTTTCTCTCTCTCTACAACTCTATTCCTCGAGACCAGGACTCGCCGGCGGCTGGCGAATTAACTCGCAGACTCCTCATCTCCTTTCTCGGATGGCTTCCCAATTATTATCCAAGAAGAGAGCCGTTGATGGCAAGTACACAATGAACTGCAGGTTCGTTTCCGCATCAATCTATAAATTAGGGCGTTTTCTACTGCTTCTTCCACTGATCCATCAATCCATCCATCGTCCCCTTAGAAAATCAAGAGGTTGGAACAGGCCTGGGTTGGAATCTCGCTGCTTGGTGGCCGCAGTCCTTGGAGGTGAGCAATCAGAGCACCAAGCGCCCCCGCCTGATGATCTGCATCCGTGAACAGTCAGCAACCAAAGGTTGTTTCGCCCCCTTTTCACCCCTTTTTTAGTTGATCTGTTGTTCTTTCTTGCATTTGTGTATCCTTGGTTTTTCTTAATTTTCTAAGATGTCTTCTAGTTCTAAACGCCCTGGTAAGAAGTATAAATCTGGGTATGAAAAACGTACAAGGAAGAAAAAAGCTGAAAATCTTATTCATTCTCTGAAGGGGTCTCTTGATAAATTTGTTGTGAAAGAACCACAAGTTTCTTCCGAAAATCAGAATATAGAGGCTGATGTTGATGATAATGTTGACAACATTCAGGTTGAGAATACTAATCCTGATGAGGCTAACCTCCATGGAAATGTCGTTGGCGCTAGTGTTAATGAAAACATGGATAGTTCATCTAATAAGAATAACATGGATGCATCTTCCGATGGTAATGTTTCTTTCCGGCCAGATATATTTGATCCAAGGAATTGGGATGCCCTTGACTCAAAAGCGATTGACATCTTGGTAGAAAATGGTCCCAAAAGAGATTTAACTATAAAAAAAGGCCGGAAGGATAAAAATAAAAGATGCTTTTCTTCGATATTTTACACAAGAGTTCTACCAAATGGAGAGAAGTGTGATAGAGATTGGCTTGTATACTCTAGAGAACTTGACAAGGTATTCTGCTTTTGTTGCAAATTATTTCGAAAGGGGCATGTAAAGGGTCATTTTCCTAGTGAGGGTTTTAATGATTGGGCACATATTAGCATTAGAATTAGAGAGCACGAAACAAGTGCCAAACATGTTCTGAATATGGTCACTTGGTATGATTTGCGACTACGGTTGCAAAAGCATCAAACTATTAATTGTGTAGCGCAGCGACAACTTGAGAAAGAAAAGGACCATTGGAGAAAAGTTCTATTTAGAATTCTTTTGATGGTAAAATTTCTTGCGAAACACAATCTTGCATTTCGTGGTACTAACTCGACATTGTATCAAGATAATAATGGAAATTTCTTAGGCTTGGTTGAAATGCTAGCTGAGTTCGACCCAATTATTCAGGAGCATGTTAGGCGCATAACAAACAATGAAACTCATGTTCATTACCTTGGTCATGGGATCCAAAATGAGTTAATACATTTGCTTGCTTCTGCAATTAAGTCAGAGATAATTAAAAAAAATTAAAGAAGCAAAGTATTTTTCCATTATACTTGTACCCCTGATGCGAGCCACCAAGAACAAATGTCTCTGATAATACGATATGTCAATGCATCTTCGACTTTTGTTTCCATTGAGGAATCCTTTTTAGGATTTTTGGATGTCAATGATACAACTGGGCAAGGGCTTTTTGATGTTTTGCAGGAAGAACTACGGAATCTTGACCTAGATATAGATGATGTGAGAGGACAGAGCTACGATAATGGTGCGAATATGAAAGGTAAGAATAATGGTGTTCAAAGGAAACTTTTGGATAAAAATCCTAGAGCTTTTTATTCAGCATGTGGTTGTCATAGTCTTAATTTGACACTTTGTGACATGGCAAAAACTTGTGGTAAAGCAAAGGACTTTTTTGGAATCATACAACGCATCTACACAACATTTGCTAATTCAACTAAAAAGTGGCAGATCTTGAAAGATAATATAGATGATACAACAGGATTGACTCTCAAGTCGTTGTCATCTACTCGTTGGGTGAGTCGAATAGATAGTGTTAAAGCTATAAGATTTCAGCTTTCGAACATACGAGAAGCTTTACTGCAAGTATCTGATATTGATAATGATCCAAAAACTAGCAGTGAAGCTAAATCTCTCGCGAATAATGAACTTGGTGATTTTGAATTTTTAGTAGCTATTGTTATTTGGTATGACTGTATGCCATCAATCTGGTCAGCAAGAACTTACAATCAAAGGATATGCTTATTGATGTTGCTATTGAGCAAGTGCAGGGGCTAATTACCTTTTTTAATGGGTATAGAGACACTGGTTTTTGTAATGCATTGGAAACAGCAAAAGAAATTGCACTTGAAATGGAGATCGATCCTACATTTCGTCAAAAGCGTGAGATTAAAAGAAAGAAACAATTTGACGAAAACCCAGATGATGTGTTAGTTTCTTCACAACCTGCACATGAATCATTTAGGAGAAAATATTTTATTCCTGTTGTTGATCAGGCTATCAGTTCACTTACAACAAGATTTGAGCAATATGAATCATTCCAAAAGAACTTTGGTTTTTTATTTACTTCTGATGCACTAAAATCATTGGATGAGAAGAGCTTAAAATATTCTTGTAGTGTTCTTGAGGCTGCACTAAAGAGTGGGGGGAAATCAGACATTAATGGTAGTGAATTATATGTTGAGCTAAATTTACTTAAAAGTTTCATTCCAAATGATAATATGGGGCCGGTTGATATCTTGAAATTTCTTAAACGGCTAGATTGTTTCCCTAATGCAACTATTGCATATAGAATTTTGTTAACTATTCCAGTGACCGTCGCATCAGCTGAGGGAAGTTTCTCCAAATTGAAATTATTGAAGTCCTATCTACGTTCAACAATGACACAAGAAAGGCTCAGTGGGTTGGCTACTATAGAAATTGAAAATGATATACTGGAGGGGGTTGCTTATGAAGATCTAATTGAAGATTTTGTATCAAGAAATGCTCAAAGGATGGCACGCTTTGGCTAACAGAGTAAAAGATGGACCTGTAGCTCAAAATTCTAAGATTTTCTTATTATGTAGTTCCTTGAGAAATCTGTACTGCTGTAGTGACTAATAAAAATAATGTTTAAATTGCCTACTTGACTTTCTTATACATGGGGCCTAAATTGTGATTTCGCTCCGGGGCCTCAATTTCCGGGGTACGGCCCTGTATATACACAGTCTCATACACACACAAGAAAACAAACTACCTAAGCTGACTCCTAGGCTATCTCCTAGAAGGAAGGTGCATGCGATCATGGGCCGTTGGAGTCTTGGAGAGCTAACGGTATGGTGTGGTGGCGTGGATGTAGGAACCGAAAATGTCTTCCAACACTTTGAATGCGAAACTACTTCGCGGATGACTGGTGAATGGATGATGCATGCACGATGTGCAATCGAATGGTGTCCCGCAAAGAGCTTGATGACATCACCGGCTTGATTATTAGTATCGTCCGTAAATCGTGCATAGACGTCGTGTGTATAGCAACGTTGCTTTGGATGCTAATCGTCCTCCCGCACTGATGTACTCTTTGGGCGGTAAGCCGGTAATATTATTCTAGATTGGTACCATGGCTTGTCTGGAGCGCCAGTCACTTGTTCTTCTTCCCCTGGAGCTCATTATGTGTGTTACTAATGTATCTTATCGATGGTTCTTGGATAGATTACAATGCTGCATGTGATGCTCGTAGTCTGGCTCCACGACATCTTTGTTTGTCTGAACTTTGCACACATATCTTAAGCAAATCTCCAGCAGGCGAACATCACACGGTGGATAGCTTCTTTTTTTAACACAGTACAATCGAAGTCGCTCACATACACAAGCATACACTCACCGCTATGAACGCACGCATGCACATCTTAAACCCTATGATCACCTTCAAAAGACTGAACCGGCATAGCATCTTGACGCCACAAGCACCTCGCAGTTGACTAGCTAGAACATTTAGCTGTTGCACAGATTTGGATTGGTTTGAAAGGGTTTTTGCGAAAAAGGACCCAAACTACTACAAGGAAAAGACACATCCATGACGTTATGACCCGAATAAAATTATATTTTGTCACTTACATGACGATAATTATGACAAAAACATATTACCTCTTCCTAAATATAAGATCTTTTAGAGAATTTCAATATGGACTACGTATGGATGTATATAAACGTATTTTAGAGTGTAGATTTACTTATTTTACTCCGCACACAGTCCATATTGAAATCTCTAAAAAGTCTTATATTTAAAAACGGAGGGAGTATATCATTATAGATGTGGTGGACATCTACTTCTATGATAGAAAATTATGACATAAAATGAACCTTTCATCCTGGGTAGGCTGAAGGCGCACTTGCATGATATTCTTTGAGCCGTCATGACTTTAAAAATCATGCTAGAAGTGGGGCAAAAAAACTGCAGGGATTTCTCGATATATGGTGGGTGGTCGGCCCCGAGCGATGTAGGGGTAATTTGCGTGTTTCTCTTGTACGCGCATGTGTGTGAGCCCTTAGCTTACTGAACCCAAGTGAGCCCTTCGCCCTACTAAACCCGAGCGAGCCTTTCGCACTATCAATTATAAAACCCGAGCGAGCCGTTCGCACTACTGAACCGAAGCGATCCCTTCACACTATCAAACCCGAGTGATTCCTTCACACTATCAAACTCGAGCGAGCCCTTCACACTACTGAACCTGAGCGATCCCTTCACACTATCAAAACCGAGTGGTCCCTCTGCACTATCAAATCCGAGCGATTCCTTCGCACTACTGAACCTGAGCGATCGATTTGTGACTCGATCAAGTTATTGCGATCTTGCACGGTAGTGTAGGAGGCCCGGTCGATCGCGCACGCAATACGTAGAGTCGAGACCAACCAGTTGTTGCATCGAGCCACCTTGCGCGACACGTAGAGTTGACCTAGCCGGTTGACTCTCGATGAATAGTCTCCATTGCTACCGCGTGCGTGTACACTCCACCCCAGCCGATTAGAGGTTGGATGAATAGAACCCTGTGGTAGGCGGTTAGCACTGAATGAGCAGGACCCTGAGGAAGCCGTGCCGTTTGAACAAGACCTCGAGGAAGCCGTGCCGCAGTGCCGTTGTACGCCACGCCCTAACCAGTTTGGGGTCGATGAACAGGACCTCATGAAGGCCGTAGGCATTTGGCGCCGGATGACTTGCAGTTTTTTTTCGAACCATGCAGGAGAGTTGCATGTATTATATTAAAGAAAGAGGGGTAAACAACACGACCAATCCAAAACAACTCAAAAAAAAATAGAAAAACGAACTACACACCCAACCGCGGAACAGCTAACATGCAAAAAAGCCCCTACAAGCCGAACACAATAACATGCAGTTAATGAAGGATCAAACGACCAAAACTCGCCACCTCCTACTGCCTAGCGTCAGCTTTGATTTGATCACCGACATTTTGCAAAGGTGTGAAGCGATTATCAAAGACTCTTCTGTTTCTCTCGCGCCATATGCTCCAGATTATCAAGTGAACTAAGGAGTTCAGAGATTTTCTCTTAGTTCCTTGAGTAATGAGTCTAGCATTGTGCCACCAATCCTGGAGAGACGGTAATCCTTGAGCCACTATCTCACTCAAAAACCAGCCCACTGAAGCACCATATTCCAAATAATCTGCATGACCGAGCAACCTATGCATAAATGATGAACGATTTCTGGAGTGTTATGACAGTAGCAGCAAGCAACCTGGCGAGGAAAACCACATTTTGCAAGACGGTCGTTTGTCCATACATACCCTCTGACGACCAACCATAGAAAACGTTTAATTTTCAGAGGCGCCCAAGTCTTCCAGATACCACTGGCCATGCTGCATTTTACCGCAGCACAAAAATGTGCATTATAAACAGACCTTGGTGAATAATCTCCCTTTGCCTCCCAAGTCCAAGTCCACTTATCTTCATTCGAGGGATCAAGATGAATATTGGTAACAATCTCCCATAAGTTTAACACCTAATGGAAGGTACGAATAGAAATCTGCCCCTTAATATCTTTAATCCAAGCTCCATCAATCTTTGCATCTGCAACAGTTCTTCTTTCTCTGACGACTGTTGAGACAGCGTTAATAACATCCGGTGCATAATCTGCAACAGTGGCCCCCTCAATCCATCTATCCGTCCAGAAGTAGCATCGCTGCCCATTTCCAAAACCACTCGAGCCGCAGCATTGAAAAGTTGTCTATTGTTATACTCCAGGGGGTTGAGCATGATACTCCAAAAGCGATCCCGAGCAGTACGAGCCTTCCACGCCCAACAGAACTTGAGAGCAGAATCCATAATTTCAAGGTCCAGTATGCCCAAGCCACCACACTCCTTCGGTCTGCAAACATATTTCCAACTCACTAAAAATGGCCACCATTCACAACTTCAGTACCCTTCCAAAGAAAAGCTCTCCTAATTTTATCAATGGCCTTGAACACCCATGGAGGTGGATCCAACGACGTGAGGTGGAAAATTGGTATAGCCGAACGCACGACCTGAACCAATATCAAACGACCACTCTGAAACAGAAAGCCGGTTTGCCATGTCCCTAATTTGTTCCTGATCTTGTCAATCAATCACTAGAAGTCCTCTTTGCGCAATTTTTTCAGACTAAGCGATAGACCCAAATACTTTATGGAAAGTTGTTCAATCTGACAGTTTAAGGTGTTACCAAACTCGGCAATCAGCTGATCCTCACAAGAAATTGGAGTTATTGAACTTTTGTTCATGTTACATCTCAGACCTGAGGCACTCCCAAAAATATTTAGAAGTACTTTAGTTGCCTCTACCTCATTATGTGCTGCCTTAAGAAAGAGAATGACTGTAACGCCCCGAGACCGATGTGCCAGGTGTCTTTCAGTTATTCGCTGTTGTTGCCTTGTCATTTGCTTGCATGTCATGCATTTAATATTATGTCATCATGTGTATCGCATTTTTTTTGAAAGAAAAGGTGGCTGAATGCCAACCTTATATTTCAAAACAGGTTAGAAACCTGTGAAAGTCACATGTTACATTGGTCCTGTGAAGTGCACCCAGGTGCAAGATCACAAGTAAGAGTAGAGTGGTGAGGGAAGGAAGACTACAAGAGCAAGGAGGGGATACCAACATGTCCGTCTCATGCATCCGAGCATTTTCCCTGTTGTCCGTTTTGCATTCCGGCGCTCCTATGTCCTCCGGTGTTCCCTTTTGCCTCTTTTCGTGTGCGGGTGTTAAACATTCTCGGATTGAACCAAGACTTTCCAAGCTGCCTTGGTTTACTACCAGTAGAACGCCTGTCAAGTTTCGTGCCATTTGGACTTCGTTTGATACTCCAACGGTTAACCGAGGAACCGTAAAGGCCTCGTATGTATTGCAGCCCAACACCCTTCCAAAGTGGCCCAAAACCCACCTAAACCCCTCCATCATCTAGGCCGTTCAATCACGATCGCGTGGCCGAAAACCGCACCTCATTTGGACTCTCCTACCTCCCTCTACCTATATATATGTGGCTCTCCCCGAATTTTTCGCGGACGAAACCCTAGATCTGGAGGTTGATTTTCGTCTGTCCCCAGATCTGCTTATTTTTATGCATTCTACATCGCATTATAACTTTGCATTCGTGGCTCCGTTTTGGGTGTGTAGCATATTAAATTGTCCGCCTCGACGAGTACTTCATTTCATTCCATTGGACCATGTTCATTTGAGTTCATCTTGATGCTCTAAATTCTGTTGTAAGAGTGCTAGTTTATATTAGTTTCAGATTCTTATCAGTATTTGAATATTTGTCATGTTTTCCATGATTGTTGTGTGCCTCCTATAAACTTGAGCCCTTCATGTGTTTTGAAGTATGTCATGCCATCTTTACATGGGTGTATGACATGTATTTTTGTGATCTTTGTGGTGACTAGCACAAGCATGCAAAGTAGCTCTCGTGATGTTGCTGATTACAGGGACTTAGAATTCTTCTAAGTCATTTCCCTGATATTATTTTTATGTCATGTATTCATGTTGC